ATATTATATATAATATATAATAATATAATTAATTCAAAAACTATTCAATATTGGACTCATTTCGAAAGTATTAACGAGACGATTATAATGATATAATTTGTTAAAATAAAAATGTATTTTTTAAACATGTTATAATTGATATATAATTATGTGTGTTAATTTGATAAGGGTGTAAAATGAAAATTTTAAAAGGAAATGATATAAAGTAAATTAATTATCTAATTACAAGGGTATGAAATGTAAATTTAAATTAAAATTTTAAAAAATTCGGTGAATGTGAGGGTGTGAGTGAGGGAAAGATGTGAGGAGGAGGGGGTGGGAAGTGACGTAAGGGGGTGGGGATATCAACCCCTTTTTATTTTATGTATTTTCTCTAAATAAGTATTTTATACTCGTACTATTATTTTCTATTAGTAATAAATATATTATTATCAAAACTATTTTCTTAATTTATATTTATAATATATTAATAAAATATTTGATAAAAACTCTTAAAAACCATTTTATATACACGAATAACTGTTTATTGATTCATATTATTTGAAATTCAAGATTATAAGTAAATTGTACATAAGTACAACTTATTAAGCTTCATATTTGAATTCGTGTAACTAACTGTAAATAAATATAATCAAATACAATATAAAATTTTCATTTTAAATATATCTAAAATACAATTAGGATGATTATCGAGTTCTAACAGAATCTTACAATGTCTAATAAATCAAGGTACATATTTGTATTTTTATCCATTACTTCAATAATAAAAAACTAAATACGTAAGAAAAATCAAATACCACATTACAAAATTACGTATTGACCCATGCTTGCCACAAGCTTTAACGTCGTGTCTTACATGAGCTTTGAGCCACGTCACGCTACGACGGTTGCTGTGTTGAGCCTTTCAGATCATTGGTTTCTATTTGTTATCATTCTTATATTTGATTGTTAAAGGTTTTTTTATTGAGGAACATTGTGAAACATCAATCGATCTATGTGGTAGATCATCTTTTTTATACGAAGCCATATTTTTCCAAATTAATGTTCCATATTGCTTTTCATTAGAATAAATCGACTCGATTTTCATAAATAGTTCTTATATGGAACATGAGAGACCAATTGATTTGCTTCATTTTACTAGGTCTACATTTTTGAAATGTTTTGGTACTCAATAATTTATTTATGAAAACATAATAGTTTTTGAGAATTCTTACCATATCTTTATAAATGAAATTAGAATCCACAAACGACTATGGGTCTCACGAAAAAGCATTGATCTCACGTGAACTCAACCCTATATATATATATATATATATATATATATATATATATTGATATATAACTTATAATGCATTTTTAATCCTCATATGAATAAAAGAATATACGTATCGATGTAAATAAAAACATATTGATGTAAATAAAAATGTTTGTTTGTGGATTCTAATTTATGAAGAAAAAATAAGTATGTTTGAAAACTTCTCATTGAACCATATCTTGATTATTACTTTAATATATTTTTCATATTTATATGTTATATATATGATATATTTCAAATGCAACCATGTCCATTTTGTATAACCAATGCAGCCCAATCAATTGAGATATTTATGGAAATTATAAGAGTTCATTTATTATGATTTGAATATTTATGGAAGATGACTAAAGTTCATTAATTATGATCAATACTTTATATTATGAAACAATCAAGACTTTTATGAAATCACATATTCATCAAATTAAATGGACGGTTAAGATTGAGTTGTATTGGTTGTACAAATGTATAGTGTTGCATAATAACTCAACTCTCTCCCTCTCTCTCTCTCTCTCTCTCTCTCTCTCTCTATATATATATATATATATATATATATATAAGGAACAACCAAATATAAATGATGTGACACATTGAAGTTTAAGAATTTCTCGAATCTTGGATTGCAGTATTAAGTTGATTTTCCCACATTGATAGAAAAAAGAAAGTTTCACAAATACTACGAGTATATAAGGAGGAGATGATGTATTTAGGCATGGCAACGGGGAGGGGATGGGGGGGTTTTGTAATCCTCGGCCCCGGCCCCGGTTTGTAATGTCGTCCCCCGACCCCGGTCCCCGGCGGGTACAGGGATTATCATCTCGTCCCCGGTCAAATTATAGCAATCCCCGGTCAATCCCCGGTCAAAACCCGGGAAAAAGTATGCTTTAGTTTGATTATACCGGGGATCCCCGGCCCCGACTCCGGCCCCGTTTTGAGTAACATTCCCCGT